GTTTCTGGATGTAACAATAGAATTTTCCCAAAACCCAAACTCCTGTAAACTAGAGATGCTCTAAAAATGGTATTTAATTTTCAAGCCAGTAAAGTGTTTAGAATGCTACTTCCCATTCATTTTAACAGGCAACTGAGTGACCAAAATACCTAAACACCCCAAAAATCTACATAATAGTGTTTTACAGTTTTGCCCTGCATACTTTAACTATAAACTTTTGAACTCCACACACATTTTCTACCTGACAATAAATTATTCAGAGGAACACTGCATTATGTTATACAGCTGAACGTTTTGAACAAATGCATTAATTCAAGTGACTGCATCTGAAAAGCACACTGGGTGCCCAAAAGCCCATCTATTTTTCTTCCTAATTATAACACTGGGAATAAGGAAAGATACTCTTTTGAAAAAAAAGCATGATTCACATAAAATACGTATTATTCCAATGCTTGTTTACATTCTTTAACAGGGTATTTCCCTATTCAGAAGTATTCACTTTTTCAAATGGTAACATCTAGTGGCTTTTGAGCGCTGAAATCCTAAAATACATTTAGCAAAGTTGTTTAATAGCAACTCTTCAGTTGAGGCACTTCCTCTGTATATTAAAAAGCTCGTTACCAGCTTACATCATGCAAACCCATGAAAAAAATGAATTACAGCAAAAGATTGCATGATTATATCCTCAAATTCAACTCCAAGACAGCAGTGATGAAAGCAGAGGTGACAACTGTACCTCGCAACTGCCCACGGCCTAAATATGGGCAAAACACCTCAAATTTAGGGTTCACGAAGAGTAAGCTAGATGCTCAAGGTGATGTATGATACGTTCTTTAGCATAAAATCACTTTATCTTCACCCAGAACAAGGATTTACACCATCTCCTAAAGTCTGTGAAAGACTCCATCGCTCTATGTACTTTTTAGGGGCAGTTTGTGTTAAGGAAAAGCAAAGTATTGTAGCTAATATGCTAAAAAAATAAATAAAAATCTAGTGTTGTTACTCATGGATTTTGAGGTCCCAATGTGGAAATAGGAGTCCGGAGAAGAGCGGAAAGGAGATTATGAAGTTTGGGAATGCAGGAAACGCATTCAAATACCTTGGTGGGGCAAAGCGCTCCTCCCCTTGTATGTCGTGCAACAGGAACAGCTTGAAACCAGCAAAAATACTTTTTCTACAGAAAGGTGTATTAAAGATGTGTTAAACAACCTCCCTGCAAACACCACAAAACTTTGCCTCATCTTGCTTTTGAGGTAGAAAATCACATCCCCTTTTGCCCCAAGAAAGACTGATGTGGAGAGAAACTCCAACAGCCTCCAAGGTCCCACAGAGAATGGGCCACAGAGGCGAGAACAGAGATTTCTGCAGAACTGCTCTGCACCAATAACCAAATAAAGGGCTCTGCTTAGGAAACAGCTGTTCATGGGAATTATCTGCACCAAAAGAACAGGCACATTGAACTCTCTTAAGAATACAGCACACAACCCCAGATTTTGCGTTCAAGAGTTCAAAATAAAATTCCACAAGTGCTATCAGTGGCAGAACCTAAGCTACATTTTCTCTGTCTCCTAACTATAAAAGACACAATCTCTTCAGGGCACTGAACTGAACAGTACCTCTACTCACAAGTTACAACACTGAAGTGTTTTGTGAGATGAATGGTAGAGTGGTGGGACAGGTTATGGTTGCACTCAGTGATCTTAAAGGTCTTTCCAACCAAGTTATTCCATGATTCTACCAAATTTCTGCTACAATAAGGGTATTTGTGCTTATTTCCTTGCATTGTCCTGAAGAACTTGTCTACTGTGTGAATCTTCAGTGCTCCCTCCACCCAGTAAGACAAATGTTATGTACAAACAGACAACAAGGATAAATATTTTTTGGTAAGTGCTATGAAAATGCATGTGGTTTTGAAGCCTTCTCCCAGGTTTAGTCACAAGTCACCAGTGGTACCGCAAATAGGGCTCAGAAAATAACAGAAACACAGCGATCAGCACAGGTCTGTCCAGGAAATGAAACTGGGTTCCCATCAGCACAGCTGTGACACCAAGAGCTAAACACCACTGGGTGATGAAACTTGATTTTCTCTCTCTGACTACACCAATTCCTCTCCACAACAGCAACAACCTCAGAGGTGCTCAGGGGAGCAAATGAGCTGCAAAGATACAAATCGGTACGAAAACTCCTGTGTGTATGCTGAAAGCTGAGTCAAATGGAGCTCAGCAACTGCACGAGATGCAACTCACACTCTCTGGTGACCCAAAATCGGCAATATTTCTCCCCGTTTGAAGGCGCAGGCTTCAAGGTCCAGCTTTGGGTGAGGGACCAAGTGTTTCAAGTCCACCATATGAAACCGAACTTCACTTAAATCCTCTTAATAAGAGCTAGCTTTTTAAGCAAAGGCACTGAAATAGGAACATCACATCTTAAACAGCAGCAGTCAAAATTTGCTCCCATTGAAAGCAATACTAATTCTGTAGGAAATAAGAGTAAGCACGGGCCCAGGTAACACGAAAGAACATTTTTCAAACAGCTCTGCACAACGCAGCAACAAAAACGCAACCAAACCCTTGGTAGCTGCTGGAAAACAGGA